AAGGCCAGGCTGGACACAGGGGCTTGGAGCAACGTGCTCTAGTGGAAGGTGTCCCTGCCCGGGGCAGGGGGTTGGAACTGAATGAGCTTTAAATCCCTTCCAACACAAACCATTCCATGATTCTATTTATGATGGATATGCCTCTGAGGCTCCTACAAGGTTTACAATAAGCTTAATTCCCCAGGCAGCCCCATTACTGTGTTCTTGAGTGCCTCAAACTGGTGGGACCATTTGTTCTTAGAAAGCTTTGCCAGGCTCTACAGGATATTCACCTCCTCGCACCCCAAGACATCCACCTCAGGAGACCTATTGATGTCCCTAAACAGTCAGTGGGCACCTATAGAGGATGGCTGAAAGCACTTATGTGAGGAAAGATGATGCCTACGCTCTCCCTCTGCAGAGCACTGTTTCCTCCAGGGAGGACGGACCATTTGTTCTTAGAAAGCTTTGCCAGGCTCTACAGGATATTCACCTCCTCGCACCCCAAGACATCCACCTCAGGAGACCTATTGATGTCCCTAAACAGTCAGTGGGCACCTATAGAGGATGGCTGAAAGCACTTATGTGAGGAAAGATGATGCCTACGCTCTCCCTCTGCAGAGCACTGTTTCCTCCAGGGAGGACCCAGAGGAGGAAAGGGACACAACATCCCCATGGACACCCCTAATTTCCAAGGGCTGATTTTAGCAATATCTCTTCAGCTCTGTGAGGACACTGGAGTAATGGATGAGCAGCATTATTCTCCCCTGCATTATTAATAAATGCAGCTGAAGCATGCGCCAGCCTCCATGTGAGATGTGTGTGTCCTACTTTCAGGAAAAGAAAAAGGCTTATTTTTAATGAAGGAAGCTAAACCAAACCACCCATCTCAGGAAGACAGAATGCCTGGGAGAGAACATGCTCCAAGGTTAATGGACTTCTAAACTGGAGTGCCTCATGTCTCTGCAGCACTGATCGGATGCACTCATTTTTACAGGCTTGGAAGGGATTGTATTTTAATAACACTGTCCTAAATAAGCAGGCTCATTGCAAGCAGCAGTTAATGCAATGCTGATGTTTTGCAGTGATCTTGGAGCTTCCCTTGTGTCTTTAAAAAAAATGTGGATAAACACAACAGGAGACTCACACAAGGCAGAAACGTGTGTTTCAATGAGGATGGAAGGAAATTCATTCTCTTGCTTGACCTAGGGCTCTTTTGGCTGAGCAGTGGCTGGCTGTTATCTACACCTTGGGAAGGGTCACTTTGAAATAAGCTGGTGAAGAATTTATCATCCTTTTGGTGCTCAAACCTTAGCAGATATTCACCAGATACTTGACACTAGAAGAACTTATGGTCCTTTCCAACCCAAACTGTGATTCTATGGCACTGCGAGTGGGAGGAATCAAGACTAGTTCCAGTTCCCATCTTCCTTTCCTCACTGTTGCTGGACCTGTATGGACCAAAGGGACTCTATAGACTTCTCTAAGCTCCTCACCATGTCTCCTTATGCTTCAAGGCCCAGTTGGACACAGAGGCTTGGAGCAACCTGCTCTAGTAGAAGGTGTCCCTGCCCATGGCAGGGGTTGGAACTGGATGAGCTTTAAGGTCCCTTCCAACCCAAACCACTCTGATTCTATGAGTGAAGCAATTGCAAAGTTTAGGACACTAAATCACTACATTTTCCATGTGGATCCCAAGGTCTTGGGAACCACGAGGTCAACAGAAGAGCGTGAGCATCACCAACTTCTACTTTGGCATCAGGGACTATAGTGTGAGTGTCTGGAGGACATCAAGGATGAAAGCAGATGGTGCACAAGCAGCAGCTATTTGAAAACTAGAGTGAAAATTCACCACTACCAATGTACTTCCCTTGGAGTGAACCACACCAAGGGCAGGAGCCGAGGGGAGCCTTCACCTTCACTTGGTGGTTCATCTCTTGCTAAGATTTTGAATGGAAGTGAAGCAAAACTCATGAAGTTTGGGGCAAGAGACACCCAACCAGAGAGAACATGGCTGAGGAACACCTTTAGGATGGAACCTTGTCCAGAACAGCTTCTTTCAAGACTGGCGTCTTACAAGTTCATCAGTCACAAGC